TTGATTGATTGATTGATTGATTGATTTGTATTCCACCTTTATTATTTTCATAAATAGTTCAAGGCAGAAAACATATTCAAACACCCCTTCCTCCTATTTTCCTCACAGTAACCTTCAGTTGCGCTGAGAAGTACTGGCCCAAAGTCATCCAGCTGGCTTTTATGGCTAAGACAGACTTAAAGTCAGTCTAGACCAGGGGTGTCAAACTCACGTCATCATGGTGGCATCATGTGAGGTATCAGGATTTTTTTCACCTTCGATAAACCAGGTGTGGGTGTGGCCAGAACATGATGCATTAACAGTTCTGGTCTAGACCAAACTGGATTTATGAAACCAAGTAGAGTTAATAATAATTTCTGAAGGAACTCAAGGATCAGACCCAAGGTTTTCACATGGAGACCTAGGTCCATAATGTATTTTTTTTTCTTTTTCTGTAATTACTTGCTTCAAGGTGGGATTGGGGTGACTGAGTGAAGCTGAGAGTTTAGTGGTCAGATGCTCTTCCTGATGCCTTTCCGGAGTTCACAGCAGATATTTTCTCTCTGCACCCTGACAGAGAAACATCTATTGCTACCTAGGTCTTCACCTCTAGGCCACCACACTGCCCTGGATCCTTCATATATTTCAAATCAAGAAAGAGGGGAAAATAGGAATGTGAAAATATGAAAAGTATTTTGGCATACATTCTCAATCATGATAACGAGAAGGAAAATGCTTCAATATTGTGAACTGAATTGGTAGCTGAATACGGGAAACCTGGTAACTGAAAACATTTTCACAAAGTGAATCTTTGATTCAGAGTTCTAATGAAACAGTTTTCACATGGTCAACAACAGCAGCGACTTACAACAATACACCAACTAGTCTCCACTAAGTATTAAAACTAAGAAAATATAATTCTTAAAAATTATTTCTTGATAACTCTTACAGTTCTTTTAGATATTTTGGTCCATGAACAGCTGAGAAAGCAATTTCTTTCAGTTTCTCCTGTGTAAAATTTATTCCCGCTTTCTGAAAAATTCCATGTAGAATTGTGCCTATCAGCATTGCACGTGAAGTACGTTCACATTTCTGCAAGACAAAATAACCACTTTTGAAATATTTGCATAAATGTGTCCTACATATCAATTAATCTGAAAAATTATTTGCTTCCCTTACTATGCTCATACTAAGGCCACAGGCCTGTACAATACATACATTTACTACTACTAAGTCACTGAACACAGAAAGAACTTATTTCTGAGAAAAGATAAGTAAGGCTATGCTTCAAATAAGCCAAGAAAGCTAAGAATAGAAAAACATACAACATATAGTAAAAAAGTATTTAAAAAAACTAAGGAGTGAATGTGCTATTTTAAATTACAAGATTAAAAATACTGTTTCTTAGTTGAGTATTATCTTTCTACAATTTTTCTATTATTATAATTATAAATCTTTCTGAATATAAATAAAAGATAATTGGTGTGTGTGTGNCAGCTTGACGTCACTCGTGTTGGAGGCTCCTGTGGCTGCCCGAGTGCTCTGCCAGCAAAAACGGGCTCCTGAGCTCAGTTAAAAGGCACCACAGGCCAATCCTTCACTGTTTCCAGGAAAGCCCCGCGGGCCAGATCTAAGTATCGCACGGGACGGTTCTGGTCTGCGGGCCTGGAGTCTGACATCCCTGTCATAACTGTATCTTCCTATCTGGTAAAAATATCCAAAGAGATCTATTGCTTCCATCTTGATAGCTACATAAGGTACAGTCTAGAGAACAGGCCTGCTTCCTAGTAGTTCCCACATTCTGGAACACTCCACACACACCCCTCCAAAAAAAGAAATGCTTGGTCCTGTTTCTTCTTCCATTCATCAAATAAAATTATTTTATTTCAATGTGCTTTTAGCTCTAATTGACTAGGGAAACTGATCAAAGGCATTTTTACAATTTGTATTAGGTTTCTCTTATTGCTCTATTCACCACCCAGAGTTCATTACAATGTGGGCAGCCTACAAATACTGCAAAACAATTTGATAAATAAGCTCTTCATGTTACACACAAAATTATATTTGTTTTTTATTAAAATGAGTTGCAACTGTAATGATGAGCAACATGTTAAATAGGACATCATCAAGTAGTAAAGGAGGGAAAAGAGGATTCTCAGAAATGTCATTGCGAAACGGGGCTCAGCTTTAGATATTTAGATATATGCCACATAATATAATTCAACCTTTTTGACTCAGAATAGGGCTAGACACGTGAGAATATAACCCAACTAATCTTCTTAAATAAGAAAAACTGTAGGTTATTCTGGAATGCTTTTAGAGCCCTCTCCACATACCCATTTAAGCTTTAAAAAAATGTTTACTCCTTCTCTGCTATATTATATGTGTTTCAAAATGTATTTCCATTTACAGCTAGGCTGTTTTGCTTTTTGCCATGTGTGCATGCACGCACATGTGCGCTCGCGCACACACGCACACACAGCGTCCACAATGAAAACAGTACAATAGAAAAATGGGGTAGAAAACATTGTAACTATACTCCCTCGTATAGACATCACCCTGCCAACAAAAGTGCATATAGTCAAGGCTATGGTTTTCCTAGTTGCAATGTATGGCTGTGAAGGTTGGACCATAAGAAAGGCTGAGCGCCAAAGAATGGAGGCCTTTGAACTCTGGTGCCGGAGAAGACTCCTGCGAGTCCTTTGGACTGCAAGGCAATCAAACCGGTCAGTCCTAGAGGAGATCAACCCTTATTGCTCTTTAGAAGGCCGGACCCTGAAGAGGAAACTCAAATACTTTGAATTTCACTTAATGAGAAGGAAGGACTCACTGGAGAAGAACCTAATGCTGGGAATGATTGAGGGCAAAAGAAGAAGGGGACGACAGAGAATGAGGTGGCTGGATGGAGTCACCAAAGCAGTAGACGTGAGCTTAAATGGACTCTGGGGGATGGTAGAGGACCGGAAGGCCTGGAGGAATGTTGTCCATGTACACGACTTTGCAACTAACAACAACAATACTCTCTTGTAGATATTTTTGCTATTACCTCTCCTATCCATACGACTTCCTACTACAGGAATCATATTGCCTGTTTTCAGATATAAGAGAAATCCACCTTCAGGATCAACTCGCCTTTCTTGACACAGTAAGGAGTACAAAATTACCTAAAAAGATAGTTAAAACAAAACCGAAAATTAAACATAGAAACAAAGTGAAGATATGTGCAGCATTTTAGTACACTGAGAAAGATCATTAAAACTACAGTAATTCCATTTTCAATATTTTCTGGTATGTGACCATCCTAAGATCATCAATGCAGAGTAAGTGCTATGTAAATGCTAACCCCAAAAACAATCTCATATAATTGTATCAGATGATGGCTTGCCCTTGCCTAGGATGAAAACATTCCTTCCTCAAAGATATTCTAACCATTATATTAAACAGTAGTTGGCTGTTATAGATAACATCTTCTCCTAACTTGCCAGGAATGTCAAATGAGGTATTCCTGGCATCTTTCAACTACGAAAACCAAAAAGGCAATGTCAGGGAATCATGGAAATAAAGTGTCATTCAACCCAGCACAGAAGATTATCTACAAAATGCTTTGCAAGTATGTCCATCAGGATGCTCTTATATATAGTGTAGATGCCTTCAATAATCTTATATTCTTCATGTATTTAAACTTTACACATTCCATATATATTCCAATATGTACCTGACTTCTATGCTCTACAGAGTTAGATTCTTTTCCACTTTTAAGCTCCAGTGGCATTATTCTGGTCTGAGTTTTAGATCTTTCATGAATGGTTACTTCAGCTGTAACATCAATCTTGCCCTTTAAGCCAAACCTGGGGCACCAGATATTCTCCTCAACATCCAGGATTTCTGTAACCTTGACATTATAACAGGACTTAGAACCTAGTCTGTTACAAAACAATTCATATATGTTAATTTAACCTGTTAACTATGCATTTCCTGAAAGACACAAGGAAGAACAATTAAAATCCTGCACTCCTCTTGAATAGAAGACTAAAATAGTAGAGAACAAGAGAATGCTACTAAACAACTTAGGCTATTATTTGTCTGTGTTTAGTTCCTGAATCAGTATAAATATTCAGCGCAGTCATAGACAGAACCAACCTTTTGCGAAGATCACAGCAAAAATTGGATATTTTCTGGAAAAGATGCAACCAAACTGCTTCTTGTTTCCGACTACTAAATATAGCTTGCCTACAACATCAGCAAAGCTATGAATAATACAAGCTTGAAAATGTGTTGTCACTAGATAGTTCAGGTGACACAATAAAAATTAAACAATTTGTATTGGGGGGTGGGGGAGCCAAGGAATTGAAGACATGTATACAAATTTGTGCTGTGGTGATTTGCTTATATAATTTATTGAATAAGGCACAATTGGATGGGTTTATGATACACCAAGCCATAATACATGCAGGCCACATCATGCCTTGTGATATAAAACCAAACTGCAGGATAGCTATGTGCAGCTTCCACCCAGACCCTCTCAGGAATTTGGAAAATCAAAATTATTTGCCAAATAAAAAAGATATTTGCAAAAATTGAAAACACTCATTATTTATTGTTTAAAATATTTTCATGGGAAATATTTATGTTAATATCTAAGGGTTTAATATTTTTTTACATGATTCAATCATCAAATTCTATGAATGCATCCGTTTTAATTTTAAATGTGGCAAATATTAAGGCTGGGAAATACTGCACTAAAGCATAGTAAGTTTGTTTGTATTCAATTAACAATTACTTACAGTTTTAACTGCACATTATTTTGGCTGTGTTTGTATGTATAGACTTCTGCCCATTTAATAAAAGATGGTAAGTATTCTTCAATCTCATGAATTATATCCTTTTGCTCTAGATTTAACTGATACCTTTAGGAATGAAAGAAGGATGTTAGAAACTGGACAAGAAAGATTTTGGGGCTTTTTTCATTTAGCGAAAAGTTAGCTATAGGAAATTGAAAAGGGGTCAGGATCATAAAATAATGTTATTAATAAAATGGCAACTTAATTCAATGATTGATTGATTGATTGATTGATTTGTATTCCACCTTTATTATTTTCATAAATAA